GAACAGGAGACCTAGCTCTTCTATTGCCAAACATATTATAGAAACAGGTCATAAAATTGATGTTAACAGATCTTTTAAACCTATCTATAAAACGTGTTTGGGGCGTATCCTAAAGATTGTAGAAGCCCTAGCAATTAGAAAGTTCAAGCCACCTTTATGCGTTCAAAAACAATTTGTCATCACATTAAACCTTCCTTGGTAAATTTTGTTTTGATACCACAGCAGATGTACTATTACCTCTTCTATTTGGTTTAGTGGTCTTCATTGTTATTTTGACTTTCAATATGTCCTCCTTTTAACTTGACCTAAGTAGTCTATTTTCTCACCTCTTACTTCTTTATTCATTTCATATGTATATTCCTATGACAAGTTCGTGTGTGATCAGATTGTTCGAAATGTGTTGCGCAAATACATTACACGATTCAGACAAATTACGTCTTCTTATTGCTTTATATAAATACAATAACATTATTTTGCGTCAACAGATGCGAAGACCTGTGACAGGTTTATTCTTACAATAAAACAGACAATTACCGAGAGGAAAATTTTCTTTTCTATGACGTCATTCACGTACTTATAGAGTAAATGGATGAGAAACCTCCAGAATTACAGGAAGTTCGTAAAGAAAAGGCACAATACGATTGTAATTACCGAAAAATTTCACTTTTTGTACAATTACGGATTAAGGACATAAAATCAACAGGAATAAATGGGAATAGGATAATCATTATTGATGGGAGTGATTTTTTGTGTTGGCTTTGGTAGGGACAACGGCTGGACATCTTTCATTTGAATACATACTATGGGCTTGAGCTATTAGATCGCCAGTCGTTCATCTATTTCCAGCCAGATGCCTGTTGACCCAACTAATCTAAATAATATAATTTACAAAATACGTTGCAATGACTGTGAGTCAGGTCAACTATATAGGTCAAACTAGTAGGTCAGGAGTAGTCAGATTGTCGGAACATAAGAATTTAGCTAAGGTAAGAATGGTTGACCCCGAGAAGATGAGTAATTTACAAAAAAGCTCAGCACTGCATTGCACTTCACGCGCTAACACACAACCACACAATAGAGTAGGAGAAAGAGAGAGAGTTAAAATTCTAAAAAGTAATCTAGGCAGGTGGAGAGCGAGAGAGGTTGATGACTGAATCCTGGCTGGTTCATTGAGTCCACACCTAACACATCCAATAGGAATGATTCATCACTCATAGCCGAAATATGGAAAATACCACTACCAATCAAATCAAGTGAAAATCAAGTGAAAAATAATGGAACTATATAAATGAATTTAGGAAGTCGTGTGATTACCTTGATATGACTATGAGCAATAAATTTTGCTCGAAATGTCATCAGTAAACATTACTGTATAACACATTGTGAGACTTTATCAGAATAAATTTTACCCATAATGGAAAAGTACTACGCATGTCTGCTAAATTGCGAAGTTCTCTATTGTCCATCACCTGCTTCTCAAAGGTGAACTGTACCGTAAATTGATTCGTGTGTTAGACAAGCCAGAACCCTATCCATACGCATACACTCACACACGCATACAGATGCATACACACCCCGATCATTCGGTGAGTGTGTATTCAAGTTCGTCAATTAGATTTTATTCAATGAAGCCCGTTAATTATAAGACTAGATAAAAATCATAATGCCTCAGGAGGCAATTAATGGACAACAAAAATGTAGCATTTTGTTTCATCAAACATAACGCAACGCAACAAAATAAATTACAAAAACGAAAATCGAACATGTGACATGAAAAATAAAGTTTGATGCACTTAATTGCATGCCTGAAAGAACAGTGGTCGGTCAATCTAGAGATATTGACTGACAGTTGTAAACACAAAAATTAAAAGTAATTAGGCTGTTCGGAAAGTAAATGACTGTCACAAATGTATCGTTATCACCTGTCGTCAATCCACTGACTGAAATATTCAATTCTGTTCTGCATCGCTGGTGTGCATTTTTATATTTTAAGTAGGATAGGAATGCTTATCATCGTTTCTGCACGTCTAAATCTCCCTCCCTGATCGGTTATGCTGAAAGGAAACGCTCAGGTGTTGTTGAAGTATGTCGACTGCTAGTGTGAAAGCCACTGTGATATCTGTAAAGTACGAGGTGACGAGATGATCGAGGGTTTGCACTGCATCCTCAGTAAATGGCAGTGTTCCTACTAAAACGCGAAACCAACTACACATCCATCCCCTTTTGTTTCGAATTACAGAGCCTTATTCACTAGACCACTAAGCGTAGATCAAGCATTTCTTGTGAAACTGGGTTCTGAATGAAACATAGGGCTTCAAAAAAAAGATACATTTTGTCACTTTCTCTCCAGCTCTCTTCAGTTGGCACGGCGACAGCCAGTAGTCTCTCATCTACTCCTCACGCAATCTCCCTGTCAATCACACACACCCTAACTCGTCGTCTCCCACTGAACTTCCTCTTGAGCGATGGTCTGGCGTGAAATATCACTCATCGGTATCCTCAGCGTACATCCGATCAGTATTAATTTTCTTCAGAATATGTTGTGCCTTGCCAGTAGGTGTCTGATGGGTTCGTTCCCAGATTATCTTGCTGATAATTGTCCTAGACTGGGTATCTGACCCTCAGTATAGAGTCAGTGAAGACACCAGTTGGTGAAATTCTGCAAATTGCTGTTGGAATTGCTTTTCATGACACATGCACCAAGTTTCCGGTGCATACAAAAGAAGTGATTTAAGATTAACGTTGAAATATTGTTCTTCATGCTACAGAGTGAAGAAGATTTCCAGAACAATTTCACAGTGAGTGATAAAACCAGGTCTCGCCCTTCTGATACTCTGGTTTTGGTATCCTTACCTGTGTTGACTTTGTGTAATTGAAACGATGTTGGCTAGATAAGCGAGTGAAGTAAGTGAAAACTTTTCATTATCTTTGGTTGGTCGAGGTTGGTGTCATTTGTCGCTGTTGTTTATTTCTCTGCATCACCTCAGTGTACTCTATGTTCACTTGGGGTCTCATCGTTTCTGCTTCCTCTACCGATTTGTTGCTTTTCGCCTGTGGGTCTTCAAATTTATGTCTGATATGAAAAACACATCCAAAAAATTCAGATCTTCTAGAATTTTCTTATTGACCCAACATATTCCTGCGGTTATTCAGTAATATCAACTCATGAAGTTTCGAGCACAAACTATTGCTGATAATCATATCAAGTTACTCACTCGCACAACTTTTCCTTCATTTATATACATCTGTGGAATAACTATCCAATAAAATTCACTAGAAAAATCGGAAAAGGCCAGGAGCAAAATAAAAATAATTGTGAAACTACTAATGATAACATGAATAAGAGAGAATACAAGTCATCTACTGTTATACCATATAAGGAGGGAGGGGACACCTGAGACCAACCATACGTAGGATTCTTAACAAAGAAGTAATTAGGGTGGCATTCAAACCTACAAACTCACTCAGAGACAAGCTCTGTAGGCTAAAAGACCCAGTGGATACAATGAAACAAAATAATATAATTTACAAAATATCCTGCAATGACTGTGGGTTAGATCAACTACATAGGTCAAACTAGTAGATCAGGGTAATCAGATTGTCGGAATATAAGAATTTAGCTAATGCAAGAATAGTTGACTTCGAGAAGGTAAGTAATTCAGAAAAAAGCTCAGCGCTACATTGCAATACATGCATAAACACATAACCACACAATAGCATGGTGGGAGAGAGTTAAGCTTCTAAGATAGAAATTGATTACTGAATCCTGGCTGGTTCATTGAGTCTACACACAACACATGCAACAGAAATGACTCAATACAAATACCAGAAATATGGAAGATATTATTACCGCCAGTCAAATCAGAGGAGGATGATAAATAATCTTAACTTGTATTCTATTTCAATTCACTTCATGTACATCATCACAACATTCTAGCAAGTTAATTATTTATTTTGACTATAAAAACACTCGTCGTATTTCCCATCTGACTGTAATTGATAAATAACACTCATATTATTATTTCTGAATGTTCATTCACTCTCCCATACTGATTTTTATTGAAATGTCTGATCATCAATTCCACTTATGTATATAAATGAGGGAAAAACGTTGTGTGAGTGAGTAACTTGGTATGATTATCAGAAATAGTTTGCGCTCGAAACGTCATCAATTAATATTACTGTGTAACACTGTCAGATTTATCAAAATAAAATCTTATGCATAATGGAGTTATGCTCTACCACAGTGCCCAAGTTTTATACTTATATCAGTATTGTTCCTGTCGTCTTGTTCCCCACGCATTGTGCAACATATAATCTAGGTCACCACAATTAGGGATACCATCGTAGCTGATAGTAATCAGCCTCCTTTTACTTCTGTCTTCACTATACATTAATCGATGAATTTTCCATTGTGGATCATTTGACATGTGGCACTTCCATATAACTGATTGAGGAATGAGTTTGACAACGATTCCACTGTTAACCACCGTCAGTCGAAATGATATAGTGTTTATTACCAAAGAAACATGGAAACGGTAACTAATGGAGAAAAATTCATAAAGTTTTGAATCCTTCATGTATCACCCCATCAGGTGTTGAATACACATCCTCCAGGTTATAGGGAGAGTTCGTTGACCATTTAACTACTGAGACTAAGTCCACTAACGCATGATATCTAACATCTGGTAATTTATCCCCTGGCCAGTCACTTATGAACACTAGATCAACTTTTGAGATCGTCAAAAATAAAATGAAACAGGTGTTTAGTACTCTCTCTCTCTACTGGCTTTCAGTTGCTCTCTAAATTAAATTCTGTTCATAATGAAACTTGAAGTTCGCACGAATCCCAGTAAACTAACATTCTTCTCGCGTGTTATTCATTTCATAAACGTATAAAAAATCATAAGGTTATTCACTAAACTCACATATACACTTTTAAAATTAGTATTATTAATAACATGTTTAACGTTGAAACCCCCCCCATTGTGTTCATTCAGCTCCACCAAGAGGATTCCCTAAAGTGCATCAAGATCCATCTGCTACAATCAGTCAAGTTGGTGATTCAACACATCTACAATGTGATGTTTCAGCTGAACCACCGGCTACAGTCTACTGGATTAAAGATCAATTCGAACTGATCGATACAAGTCTTCCAAGATTTCGCATTGTCAGTAAGTTCAATTTGTCCAATATTATTAAATGAGTGGAATTCAACCAAATATACTACTGAAATAGCATTTTTCTTTATAACACAAAGGTTAAAATTACTGTGACTCAGTAACCTAATTTATTTGAAAGTGATGATTGCAAGGGTTCGAGTCCTACTGAAAGTGTCATCCGCATTTGAAGAGTCCCAATTAGGACGAAATGCATATCCTTGTTCTCTACGTATGTAACAACTCCTACCATAGGCATTTCGACGACTTCCTAGGAAATAATATGAAATAAATCTGGGTTTTGGTGACAGGCAATAAGATCTAGGGTGTACGTTTCGTCCATTTAGGGACTTATCACAGACAAAATTATACCTGAATTCCCAGTGGGGACACCACCGTTAGGTTCCATTTTCTGACCAATGAGTAACAAGCACTAGAAGTCCCCCAGCCAACCATTCGATCATTTTACAGATCTATCACTCCTTCTTCATAATTAAAAAAGTGAATTTTAAGCTAATTTTTCATTTCATGTGTGTATTTTACCGCCGGAAGGCGATTATTGAGCAGACTTAAATTACAACGGACATCAAAAGTAGTAAAAGTGGCATCCACACACCTCTTTTATACAGCCACTGATTTCATCTGACGATTTTCCAGACTGTCTGTAGAACAAAGACCTAAGGTAGAATCCATGGCGGTTCCACTCTCTCGTCTCCACATTTCTTCCACAGTGCCCAAGTTCCACACTTAATGATACTTGTGATCCTCCTGTACGAAGACTTGTCAATAAGCTCACACGATTATAATAAACAGAATCAAGGTTTTTAAGCATTGGTTTTTGTAGGGATTTTGTTTGACTGGTTGGGGGATTTCATCATGAGCTGACATTATTTAGATGACCACTGGAAAACCTGGGAGTACTGGAACGCTGTTTCATCCCGGTTTGGGACTCTTCATTAGCGCGCACCCATCCCACCAGGGTGCGAACCTAGAACCTTCTGGTTACAAGGCGAGCTCGTAGACCGATAAGCCACTGGGACCTGATCCAATCAACCTCCGTATTCTCTGAGTTCACTTGAAGTGCCGTCTTTGTTGCTTCTTTTTCCAGTTGAATGGTTAACGCCTGTAGATCTTTGAGTTTGTGTGTGGGACGTTGAACGTAAATCGTCCACAGAGTTCAGATCTTCTAGGGCTTTCTTATCGGTTCAGCGTATCCCTATTTTTTCTAATTAGGTTTAGAAATTGTGCGCTGTTAGAAAGAATATATGACATCTTATCTATATAGTCTGTATGATCCAAGATATATGAATGAATAAAGAATGGTTAACGCATTGTTCAGTTGACACGCGTATAAAAAGATGACAGGAAGATGTGAATATGTGAATCTGTCATATTCAAATGCGCAATAAGATGGGAAAAATAACTTTCTTGAAATATTGTCAATAAATAAAATAAATAAAGTCTTAGAGTAACATAATATAAAGTGAGACATGACAAAATAAAAATGGAACAACTCACAAGACGAACAGATGGTTTGTTGATAAAAAGATCGACAACTCACTGATTTGTACAGTTTTGTTCCTGTAGAGAGAAAAGGGAATGTAACCGCTTCTATCTCTCCACAATTGTCCGGAGAATTTTAGTTAAAATTGTGTTGATGATAAACTTAAGCAAATGAGATAAAATATGATAGAGAATATGTATCCAATAGCAAATTGTATGAGAGAATTGAATTTAGCGGTGATATTGAGAGTGAATTCCTAAAGTCACATTGACAAGATCACGAGGAAAAGAATTTTTCTGGTCACTTTACGAGCAAGTTTATCTAGCAGTCCACTGGTGTGACTGAAGGTCAAGGAAATGTTAACTCGATTGCACAATTTCATGTGAAGTTACATGTTTACCCACTCTAGTGTAGCTTAGTATATAGGACCTTGGTCGAGAAACATATCCCACAGCGTTTGAGAGAACCTCACAGACTGACTAAGCGAAGGAGGGAGTAAAGACATTTGGTAAATATGACCACGCAGCTTCCGATACCTCTTTTAACACAGTCTACAAAGTCTGGAAGCGGAAGCTTTGGCAATACCTAACATAATGCCAAAACATTTAGCGTACATAAACAACTTTTACAGTCTCTTTCGTTAATGAGGTCTTAATATTTGACGAAATGTCTCTATAACAGGGAAGATTTGTAACCCAAGTGGATGATTTTAATGTGGTTGTGTTCTCTGAGCTCGGTCATTTCATAGTGAAGCTTTCAATGTCTTTCTAGACGGCGTCTACAACTGCTCAAAGGATACAATTACATCTCTAAATTATCTTCCTTTGACTATACGTGACTATCTTCTGTTATTTCGACTTCGAAGTCGAATCAGTGGAATCCGTGAAATATGATGGAAATGTCCACAGATGATTCTATTTGCCGACCTTTTCCTAATTTTCATAGGAACTTCTCAGTATCTTCTAGTAAGAAATGAAAGATATTCCTGTCATGTTCCGCAATACACCGCGATTGAAATAGGAACTGTTAGCCGGACACAGACGCGCTGATGACGACCGCCTCTTGACTACACCGGAAACATTATGCGACAACTACCTGTTTCTCCACAGTCCACACTATATTAAGTGAGAACACAACGATGTTAGACAGAAAGTATATTTCACGCAATAATGTATGATCCAGAATATCATCAAGGTTACGTCAATTATTCTGTAATCATAATCGACAAAGTAGTGGGCGTCATTTTACGTAAGCCGCTTCTAAATGGTTAATTTCCAAACTAGCTATTGATCACTTATATGGGCCAAATTCTGATTGGTTAATTTCCAGCCTGGACGTGACCACTATATCAGTCTTGCTTGTATATTCTATTGTTTAAATGCTTTTCTCGTTTTTGTGGCGTAATCAAAGTTTTCAATGTCAATATTTTTACCTTTTAGTTAACGTATTGTTGTTTTCAAATTTCAAAATTTTAGGATCAGGATCGCTTGTAATTGAAACTCTGTTAGAAACTGATTCAGGTGCTTATGAGTGTATGGCACGTAATGAAGTCGGCACTGTACTGAGTAATTCAGGTCATCTGCATGTACGACGTAAGTCAGTGTGATTCGAAGAATCTATAGTTTTTGTGCGCACCATTCAAGTTAGATAATTTTTTTGTTGATTTAAATGGACGAAGCTAAAGTGCAGGTTTAATCCAAATGAACCATTGTCATGAGTGCTTGACACCTCTGAATCACTATTAAGTATTCCATCTAAAGTCATTCGTCATGTGGATAACTGAAGATTCCATGTGATTCCTAATTCTTCCATGATACAGTACTCTGCTCAGCACCAGCCATCATCAACTTACGGTGAATATGCACGAGTGTAGGGAGTAGCAAACATCAGTCCAAGTCTGTCTGCTTCAAGATGTATACTAAGGAGGGAGGGATACAAACTGAGAATTATCTTCGGGTCGATCCTATTTTCAAAAGCTATTTTAGTCAGAATGTTATCAGTGTTTCAAACTGTTTACAATGACAAGTCCTTCACAGCCTCCTTCACCTACCCTAGCTGATGTTCCTAACTCAAGGAGCTGCTCTTTCTCCTTTTCTGTTTTCCTTCTTCTTACATGACCTACTTGCCCCACTCTCACAAAGCCAATTTTATTCAGTATGCCATAACCCATCTGACTGTTAATATGCTGGTGGTTAATTCTCACTTAGACTGTTCCAAAGTGAATAACATTTTATCAGAAATTAGTCAGTGGTCCTCGTCAAATGGTCTTAAGCCTAATCCCTGAACAAATGTCAGGTGGTTAATTTCACTTTCAGATGCAAGCACGACTTACGTGGACTGGTTCCAGTATTAAACATGCCATCGAAGTTGAAACCAAATCGAATGTTTTTAAATACCTTGTATTGGGTATTTCCTCTGATCACCTTTCTTCGTCTCCTCACATCATGTTAAGTGACTTCCAGACAGATGTTTCATTTGACGTTCTATGTAAGGAAGTTAAGACGACCTGGTATCATTCAGTCTGTTAATTCTTGTATTCTGCCTATACTTCTTTACCGTTCCCCAACCTTAATCGTTCCTGGGCTACTTAAGAAAGACTTTGTTTTTTACACTGTGAAGGGCAATAAAAGCCGTCAGTAGGGTGAGGGAGTGATTGGTGTGTTGCTAGATCAACTTGTTAATGCGATCGTAGATAGACACATGGACTCATACAAAGAAATCAGCAAATATCATCCTATCAGACTGTACGCATCGTCTCTGCCTGCATGTATCTCATCGCATAGGGGAACTAGAAGCAGCAGTTTAAGAAGACCGTGTGCTCGGAAGACTCAGTGAAAAATCTCTACAATACGTCATTCAGTCGGGATAAGAGTAGTGTAAGACAGGAAATTATCAATTCACACCGGAACTCCAAGTAAACAGCACTTTGTCTGTTCTCATCGTTACACTGTGTCGTTAATAATTCCACTTGATTTAGTTTTATATTCATTTTTTTTTATTGGACAATATTATGGAGGTAAATTCCCTGTTTTAATGATTACCCCCCCCTCCTATAATGACAAAATTAGATGCAATACTGTACTGTACTACTCTACATACTAGAAATTCCACATCTGTATCAAAAGTACTGTTTGAAATAAACCTATTATTATCATTATTATTTTTTTATTAAAAGAACTGTTCACTGAAATATGAAACCTACTCATCCTAATAATAACTTCTGATCCACCTTCCTCTTCATTAAGTGTTACTGACGGACAAATGAATATTTTCTAGTCTTCTGTAGTTCTTTTAATGATTAGTTTCCAAAAAAAGAAAGAAAAATAATAATTTCGGTGAAATATAAATAAAAACCTTCAACATGGGGGAAATGTGTTTTATGTGTGTGTATGTGTGTGTGTGTGTGAAACAGCTAATGTTTTTCGACTGCCAAATAAAAGAGTAATTCTCACATATCAGAAAAAAGAAAAAGGCTTATTGACTCTCTTGGCAATCAGCAGTGTGTTCTAAACACTCTTGCTTTTCTTATTTTATCTCCTCCATCGATTGTAATTTGATATTTTTAATCATCAATAGTGTTACGAGAGGCAGAGAGAGAGAGAGGCAGAAAGGGAAACATAAGTAGGAGATTACATCATTTGCAACCAGCTGTTGGTTGGTTTGTTGGTCGGTTGGTTGACAATGAGACTATTGTTTGAATAATGTGGGTACATATATATTTAAATGTGTATGTAATGACTGAACGATATCTCCCATTGGGAGTTATCAGTCTTCAGAGTAATGCTATTTGTTGACACCATTGCATGAAAACAATACACTGTCAGTGTGAGTGTTTTTTAATTGTTTTGAGATATTGGATTTCATGCTTTGTACAGTATACGATAGGGATTTCACAGTATATAGAAATATGTGAAACTAATGATGGGCTGCGGGAGGGGCGGACAGTGAAGACTGAGGGTGACAGTGCACCTACACACCTAAGTGGTGTAATCTATACTTGGGGGTTTGATGGCCAAATTGTTAGACAGAGAGAATCAATGCCTAACTGAACTAACAAACTTTTCGATAGTTCTAAGCGATCGTTGGTTCAATGGTACAAGGGTTCAACTCCCTGCCGACGTAATTCTAGACCTCACTCATGCGGTTGTAAACCTTTAAAAGATGGTAGATTGATGATCAGGCTTTTGGAACTCCAACACTTCGAGAACAAACACCACAGCTGCTGAATGTCAGGTGACCCACAATTGGAAACTCTGAAAAGCCACTTGAAGTGAATATAGGAATAAGACAAGGCTGACTACTATCACCAATACCATTCCTGTTTGTGGTTGAGTGGATAGTATGGCACATTGTGAGTGCCACTGGACAGAAAAGAAGACTCTAGAAGATCTGGACTCTATGGACGATTTACGTCCGACGTCTCACACACAAACTCAAAGATCTATAGGCGTTAACCATTCAACTGACAAAATAAGCAAAAATGACGGCACTTTAAGTGAACGTAGAGAATACGGAGGTGATAGAAATAACCAATCAACCAACAACCCAACCAACCAACCAACCACCGCCAAAAGCAACAATGACCAGCACGAATCACGATCAATGTGAGAATGTGGTTGAAAGAGGTCACTTCCTTCATTCACTTATCTGGGCACCATAATTCGAACTAGAGGCATACAATATTGATGCGGATGTCGAAACGACAGTATCAGAAGGGCAATATACGATTTCATCATTGTAAAATCAGTTCAAAAGTCTTCTGCACTCTACATCACGAAGAATGAAATTCGAATATTCATTACTGATTTTAAGTCGGTCAGTTCTTGTGTATGGGTGATACACTTGGCGTGTGTGTGTGTGTGAGTGTTTCAGGAGAAGCATTTGTTACAGGCGACTGGAGACTTCTGTGAACGGCTGCCTTCGCCAAATCCATGTTGAATATGAGATGGCCAGCTTGTCGGAAAACATTATTGATAGGGGACTGTAGCGATGAACGAACCAACCGAGAAGGTAATACTGAACAAAAGTGCCGAAGAAAATGGAGATGAACGTGTCCGACATGTTGAGAAGACACTTGGTTAATGTTGTGCGCCAGGTGATTTCTCGAGTGAAAGGTGAATGGCACTGATGTCTTGTCTTCTTTTGCTATTGGATGGGTCTTTTAATGTACACAATATTGAATGAAGTGAGCGTGTTTGTTGGTTGGTTGATTGGCTTATTATTATTTCCTTTTATTCATAGAGGAACATAGGGCTTCAGCCGCACGTCTCCATTGCCCTCCGTTTTCTGCCAACTTTTTCACCCCGCTTCAAGTCTGCTCACATGCTTTCATCTCCTCTTCACATGACCCTCTCCTCCATGTCACCCTCACACTGACGACCAACTTGACGCTTCTCTTTCGGGTTCCACTCGAGCAATGTCTTGTCTAGGGATGTCACTTGATGGTTTCCTCAGAGTATGGCCAACCATCTCCATTTATTCCTGCTTATTTGTTTCACAATCGCTTCCTGCTAGGTTAGTTTGCTCCCAGAGATTCCTGTTGCTGATCTTTTCTGGCTGGCCATTTGATCTTGAGTATTGAGGGAAGACAGCTGTTGATGAAGGTCTGTAGTTTGTTTGAGATCCTCTTCATGACACGCTGACCAAGTCTCTGATCCGTATAGTAGCACTGACTTCGAATCGGAGTTGCAAATCCCGATCTTATTTTTGATGCTGAGCGGTGTTGACCTCTACACATGAGTGGCTTATGTGCGGCATCTATTTCAAATGTTTTTAATATTCTGGCCATTAATTATTTCAGAGATATTCTTCATGTATATAGGTATGGTTGAGTGAGCATGGTTTCTTCTCGGTAATTCTATTTGAGGTCAAACACTTTTGCTGATGAAATCGTGGGCGTATTCTTTATTCTTGAAGGTAGTTAGCAAATATTTCTCCCCTAATTCTCTTCAGCACTGGAGTGCTTCAACAGTGTGTTTGAACTTCTTCAATCAATTCTAGTGCACACTTTCTTTTATGTCAGTCATTGGCTTATATCTGTTATGTGTAGCTGAGTATCTGACCTGTCAGTGAGTTTGTCTGTGTGTGTGTGTGGTGATTTTCTGTATATATGTGTTTCTAAATCTTGCTGTGTATTCTCTCTCTTGAAAAAGGGTGTGTATCTCAGGAAGACAAAACACGTAGATCAGCGAAGAGACCCTTTTCGGCGAATTCATTTTCTTAGCTGTTAAATCGCAAATATATATGCATCGTTTTGTATGTATGTGTACATTAAGTTTGCCAAACGCTGGCCATACGCTGAGGAAACCATCAAGTGACATCACTAGACAAGCCCTCGAGTGGAACCCGAAAGGGAGGCGGCGAGTTGGTCGTCCAAGGGTGACTTGGAGGAGGTCATGCGAGGAGGAGATGAAAGCATGTGGACAGACCTGGAGCAGGGTGAAAAAGTTGTCAGAAAACCGAAGTCAATGGAGGTGCGCAGCTGAAGCCCTATGTTCCTCTAGGAACTAAAGGATACAATAATAATAATAAGGTTACTTTTAACTAAACAGGTGAAGGTTGGTAATACAGGTCAAGAAAATTAGGTGTTAGTGAAATTAGGGTAGTAGCAAAGGTGATGATTTGTCACAAACAGTTGTTAAAAGAAGTTATGTAACAATAGTATGAATAGTTTGATGAGTGAGTTTTACCCAGGATGCACATAGAAACAAAGGAGATAATACGAAACTATGTAAGAGATCTAAGTGAATACAAGAATTAAAAGCAATTAAAGAACAGGCAGAGAATCAAAATTAAGTCATCAAAATAAAAATAAAAACTCAAAACAAATCAAAACATTGTTACCATGAGAGTAGAAGTGGTTGAGTAATCTTCTTTTGTACGCAAAGCCCCGGTTTTTCCATGTGAATAGCCAGAGCTTCAGCGATACAAAAGAGGCGAAACCGTATTGCCTTTGACAGGTTATTCTTGACTCTGTAGATCACTTCGAAGGAGGCGCTTGTTGAAATACAATGAACAGTGTTAACCAAGTGTTCAATTATCGCACTCCTTATTGCACCAGTATTGCCTTTTCGCAACCATGCTGAATAATGTTCTTGAATTCTCTTGGACAGGATGCGCGTCGAACGACCGATGTACCTGGTTGGCTCCACAGGAGCAGGTGAACTGATATATGCACATAGAAGTGGCCAGATTCAGGATCTTGTCCTTGAGGCTTCTGCAGATCAGTGGGCGACTGGAGAACACTATTCTTAGCGTTACTGCAAAGAATGTTCTTCTCAGAGTTGATGTGATCCTTCTCTTGAGAATATCGCTTGCTAAATCTCCCTTCAAAATCCAGGTTCCTGTAGGCGTAATTAAAGTTTCGTTTCTCTGAATTATTAGTTTGATATTTTTGTCGATGAATCTTATTGGGTATCCATTTTGGATGAAGATTTCTCTTAGAATATCTAATTCTGTTTGCAAAACGTCGGGACTACAGATGCGTCGTGGGATTCGGGTGGCAAGTGATTTAATTAACTTCCGCTTTTGTTGAGTAGCTACCCAGCTATAGAAGCTTGTTAGTTGACCATTCCACGTTGGTCTTCTATGGATTGATCTTCTTAGGCTTCCATCAGCTCTTCTTGTCAGTTCCACATCAAGAAACGGAATTTTTGACTCGTTTTCCATTTCAAGAGTGAATTTTATTGCTGGATGCCAATTGTTAAATGTCTTCAGCAGCAGATTGGGGTGGTTGTTGTTGTCACAAATAATGAAAATGTCATCCACGTATCTTTTATACAGTCGCAAATTGTCGATGCTTGGCTTTAGTAAACCTCTCTCGAGGCTTGCCATGAAGCAATCTGATAGTAGTGGACCCAACGGAGATCCCATTGCAATACCATCCTTTTGTCTGTAGATGGTGTCGTTGAATGTGAACTTGACGTTCAGAGTGCATCTCAATAATAGTTCTTTCAAGTATGTTGTCGGTATTCCAATATCGAGGTGGTTGTCATCTATATATCTGCATATGAAGCAGACCGTTTCTGTGAGTAGGACACTGGGGAAAAGTGACTCATTGTCGAAGGACAGCATAATTTTGTTAGATACATTCATGTCTTGTATGCACTCGATGAACTGGAAGGTGTCACGGAGTGAGTGCATACATAGTTGCTTCCTTACAGGCTCCAGAATATCTGCTAGCCATTGTGCAATAGAGTGGTAAGGGGAACCTGATATATCCAGGATTGGACGAAGTAGGAGACCAACTTTGTGTACCTATGACAGACCATAAAGTCTTGGTATTATTGAACCTGTTGGCCGGATCTGGTCGTAGATATCCCCACTGATTAGTTGACTAACCTTCATTCTCTTCAAAACGTCTGTGAGCTGCTTCTCAGTCTGTTCCGTTGTGTTTCTTTCATTGGAAGGTTGGGAAAATTTATCTTTATTCGACAGTATACTGTTTATTTTCTCGATGTAGTCTCTTCGATTCAGAAGCACTACACCAGCACGCTTGTCGGGCCGAGTTATATGCAGATCTTTGTTATCTTTCAACTGTTTTTATTCCTCTCGGTGCCGTTTCGTTAGGTGGTTGCGGACTTTTGATTTCGTATTCAAGTATCGGTGTCAGCAGTCCATGATTGTTGACTTGAATCTGTGTAATTCGTCTTAAGAAGTTGGTCTGATATCGTTCGTTTGGCTAGTTAGATTTTCAAACTGGACTTGAGTATGGAGTTTGTTGGCGTTGAAATTTATATCGCAGAATTTAGGGCCCAGAAATAGGACTTCCAGTTGCGCGTCGGTTAGACGTACTGAGGAAGGAAGTTTGTTGTCTGATTGTTGGCACAATTCAGTCACAGACCAGCTGAGAGAAAATAACCAAATCAGAATTTCCATTATTTTGTATTTTAATTTCCTTTTACATAATGCTACTTCATGATTGCGTCTACCCTGTCGCCAAAGTGTGCTATAACCAGTGTTGTACTAAACTTGAAAATCCGAGAAACTGAAAAGTTCAGAGTTATATATATCTCACCCTTAGCGATGGTCATACCACTGAACAATTGGCTGGTTTGCTAATTGCAAGTGACGAGGATTGATACGGGTCGTCTTGTTGCCACGGGCGGCATTGCTTGCCATTTCAAGCATTTCAATGGCCAAGTACTTGATGACGACCACCAAGTAGACGGGGTTCCAACACCAAGCGTTCAGCCTAGTTCCCCTTGCGCAACAGATGGTGCACATGACCAACTGAGAACTAAAGACAAGCGCCAGTAGGTCGAGTTTTATCTTTAGCGGGAGACTTTATATGTAAGCATACATATATATAAACTTATGAAAAGTTTCACAAATATAACTCTCATGAAGGCTAGTCACAATGATGACAGAAAACTCCATTTCCGCTTTTTTGTACACAGATAATCTTACAATTGCTTATCATTTTCTTCAACAAAGAGGCAAGTTTTCTTCTAACGTTAACAGCATATGTACAGTTTCAATATATATGTGTACGGATGTATGTTTGTGTGTGTGCTTGCGTGTGTGTGTGCATTATATCTGCGCATTTGCTGCAATCGTTTTCTGTAATTACTATTAATATTAAAAACTGGATACAGGTTTGACCACAAGCTGAAATCAGTTGGAAAACCAGCATGGAGTACTGGGGAGCTGTGATTGGGACTCTTCACCAGTATGAACCCCCTCCCCTGGGGTTGATATCAGAAACTTCGGGTTAGAAGGCGAGCTTGCAGATCACACAGTGAGTGAGACTCGATCCAGTGACTTATCAGTTGCATTCTATGCTAATTCCCAAGGTATGTATGTGTAGCGTAAGCACCAGCCAAGGTCATGAGCGGCTAACCATCCTCTTCTCAGATCCCATTAGTCACGACTACTCAATAGAACTTCAGGTTAATATTAGTGTAGAGCCATTCGCATCATTCTTTAAGTGTTGGTTCTCAGGTATTTGATTGGTTAAAAAGTTTGAAATTATTTAGAGAACCATCAGCTGCATATACTCATAGCCCAAGGTGGATAACGAAACTAACACATCAAAGTCCCGAGACAGGTCCACACATCATTCAATCACTGGTTTGGAATCCAATCATCTATGAATTCTAACTTCTATCATTCCGCGATTAATAATGTTATTTCGTTCCTATTTGGGACTAGTCTCCGGACCATGTGCATGGTCGGCGAGCGTCCTAACCGCTGTCACCGACGCTAATTATACTCCATACTGTCTCTAATAAGTTTAATGGAGAAGTTTTCAGTTCAAAAAATTCAACTTTTAGAAAAATGATAGTTGGTGGATTGTGTATAGTCGAGCCAGTGATGCTAACTTGTCTCCTGAAGGAGTCTAGTTCTAAATGCACTATGTTTCAAGACAATTCTAAGGGCTTCATCGACTATAGTATTTACATTTGGCACTAGAAGGCATGGAGTATACTGGCATTTCTAGCAGTGCTTCACTCTACATAGTTCCTTGAGCACAATGACCATATAACCGACCAAAATGTTTTGAAAATCGCAATTGTCGGGACATCGCTGAGAAAACTTCAAACAACCAGTCATCCGTAAAGTTGAATTATCAAAATAGGAATCGTCTATTTTCCGTAGACTACAAAAACGTCAAGTCATTGAAACTCACTAATGCATATATATATATATATATATATATATATATAACCGCTTTTTCCATATCTCTCAGTAGCTTGAACAATTCATCTCCGCCTTTCTATGTTTCATCTTCGCCATTAGGAAGTCTTCGAAACTTTGTAGTGTCCTGAGGAACGCTAGTCATCTTACCAAGGTAGTCAGCTTTATCTAATAATACGATCCCAGTGTAACAACAGAAGACAAAGGCCAGGCAACAGATCGTTTATTACGGAAATCAGCACGTATTTATATATTTTCATGTACATTATTATAGCTTATTCAAGTAAACGAACACAGTCTTCTGATTGGTTGTTTCTCACTGAAAGTTGAACTTGCATCTCTTTGTGACTGTTTCTTGAACGTCAGGTCATCTATATGTTAACCGTATCTGCCTACGCAAAGTCTGCTGTGATTGGTTGTTGAATCAGTCTTGTTCATATTTTCTCACGACCAATATTTGCGACATACACATTGACGTAAATTAATATCTACCACTTTTGGTTAGAAGCCACCTCTCACCACACCAGCACCTTATCCGGCCTAGTTGTGAGAATGCTCCCGTTCGATCGGATTCTCTTTAAGTATTCAATAAGAGCTTTTCTGTGATGATACTTTTCTCAGTACACCTTCTTGATTGACGCTGGTGGCAATTTTGAACAAGATAGGCTTTTAATTGTTCTAGCTGCAGTTGAGGTGATGGAATTAGATCACTTGTTTGACTAAAAGGATTTACAAACTGTGATTCAGTTACTAATCTAATTAAACGCCTTTCAATATCACAAAACTTTGGTTCTAAGGTCAGCATCTCTAGCCTTTCTTGTTAAAAATTGTTGCCAGCGCCAATCAAGAAGGTGTACTGAGAAAAGTATCCTCCTAGGAAAGCTCTTATTGAAGCCTTAAAGAGAATCCGGTCTAACGGGAGCATTCTCACAACTAGGCCGGCTAAGGAGCTTGGATCGTATTATTAGATAAAGCTGACTACCTTGGTAAGATGACTAGCGTTCCTCAGGACACTACAAAGTTTCGAAGACTTCCTAATGGCGAAGATGAAACATAGAAGGGTGGAGATGAATTGTTAAAGCTACTGAAAGCTTTGACATCCAATCAGTTAAATGCCTTTCCATAGCTCTCTCTTGAATGATTACCTGCTTATAAATGATGAATTAAGGGCGATGTTCAACAATTTTTTAATGCACTGCTACTTTTTTATTCGGTGTGACATTCTTTTTGCATGTGATTATGGCTCGGTGCACACGTAAATGCAGACACCCACACACGCATACACACACATACACATGCAAACAACACAAAAGCCGGAATGCTTATTTGCACGCATCTATATATTGACTGGTTTTTTTCGCCGGGTGACATGCATACAAATTTAGACACACTAATTTGATTCGTACTCCTTTAGCGAAATTCTCACGTATTCTGCGCATAACTTTGAAGTTTCTTTGTGGATGGGTCAGCTTGATGTCAAGATGCTTCTGTCATGTGTTTCAGGATACAGCTAGGGTGACGTGCGCGATATTTTTTCGCCTTCAAAAAGCCAAGATTGTGGCAAGCGTTTGATGACACGTTCGGATAACAAACGGTGGGTACCAGCGACATAACTAGGTCCACAGGTGGATCGGGTGAATTGTTAGATGCACACTGATGAGGCTTGTGAACAATGTTTGCTTATCCTCCACGTTCATACGAATTGTTGGTTTCATAGAGAAAGTTAGTAGGCTTTTTTCAGTGATCAAGACTGGCGGTTTCTCAGTATTTCTGCTGATGAGTCTCCATTGAATTGTAGATTCAAGTAGAGATGTTTTTGGATACAGAAATTGTGGGCGGTTTAACAAGGGTTCACGTTTCATGGATTTTGTGATAAAACGTTCTGGGTAGCCATTTACGAGGAGGATTCTCTTCAAAGTGTTTAGCTCCTTTTCCATAGTAGTAGGGGTGTAAATTATGCGGAATCAATGCCCCACTGAACGGATCAGATTTCTTTTTGTATACAGGATCACATGACTATGAAAGCTAGTGATTTGTCGACTTTCCATGTCGACTTTTTATTGTTCCATCTTGTTCACTCACGTCCACTCACTGAAAAAACCTGCTTCTCAGATGAACTTTTACTAACTTTCTCTATGAAACCATCGTGGAAGATAAGCTAACACTGTTGACTAGCTTCACCAGTGTGCATCTACCAATTCACCCGCTTCACCTGTGGACCTAAGTATGTCAGGCGTAACCACCGTTTTTTATCCAAATGTATAGTTGAATACTTACCCCCAGTCATGGTTACATAAAAGAGAAAACAGATAGCTCATGTTCCCCACCCCCCTAGCTGTATCTTGAAACACCTGATCGAAGCATTTGGCCACTAAGCTGACCTAGCCACAAAAGAACATAATAATTTACTCAGGGTGAATCAAAAATCTTGCATTGCTTGCTTGCCTGCCTGCTGCCTGTTGACCGATTTATTGCTTCTTGACAATTTAACAAAGCACTGTCTTGTTTTTCATTGAGTTGTTTATTTTTATCAATCAGGAATATATTTTTTGTAATACAGAATGTGGTCCTCCTTTTGTTTACAGGTATTCAGTTTCCACCGACAATCAATGAAATGCCGGAGAAAGTTGAAGTATCACCTGGGAAGGGAACAAATCTCACCTGCCGAGCTGGTGGTTTTCCGATACCTATGGTATGGTGGTCAACGCTAGGTACACCAGCTGGACCACGTCATTCAGGACCAATTATTCTAGCTGAACGTGCATTGACAGAACCTCAACCACATGAAGCTACTTTGCGTTTAACAGATATTACCGAGTCATCTGGATATAATTGTATTGCAAAAAATGGTCTGGGTTTAGTGCGACGAAATGTTAGTGTTATTGTTAGACGTAAGTTGGTCATTTTTTCATTCAGTCTTTTGACTAGCTTCATTTTATGCATATCATAGTATGAAGTTTTGGTTTACAGGAATCCGATTGATTGCAGCATTTCACTGTGGACTAATATCGGCTAGAGAGTCATTGGAAAACCAGCCGGGAATAATAAACAACTCTTTGTCCTACTTTTTGACGCTCCAGCAGCACATACGCACCACCAGGATTCGAACGCAGGGCCTTCCGTTACGAGACAGGCTCCGAGACAAATAAGCCACTGAGACCCAACCAAATGGTCCATGAATACCAACTTCTGCTAATTCGTTATATATATTGAGCGCAACCGCCAGCCAATTTAACGGGTTAGTAACTGTCCTCTTCGCCGACTTGGTGGACCCCCCTGGTCTACGGGCTCCTCTCCTAACCGGAGGGTTTTCGTTTGCGACTCTGGTCGATGCATACTGATGACGAGCCCCAAACTAGAATGAAACAGCTATACATTACTCCCAGGTGGTATTCAAATGGTTCTCTAACTGATACTGTAATGAGAGCAGGCTGCTAGCCAATTGGTAAATCACTAATATAGGCCGTGAGAAAATATGAACAAGGCTGATTCAACAACCAATCACAGCAGACTTAACGTGGGCAAATATGATTCGCAGATAGAGGGCCTCACTTTCCGAGAAACCCGAAAACAACCAATCAGAAGAGTATGTTTGTCTGGTTAACTTTCCGAGAAACCAGAAACAACCGATCAGAAGACTGTGTTTGTTTGCTTGAATAAGCTATAATAATGTACAGGAAATATATATAAATACGTGCTGATTTCCGTAATAAAACGATCTGTTACTGGCCTTTGTCTTCTGTTGTTACAATACCACAGAGTGCTTTCAGTAATCGAAGAACTAGAATTGTAGTCATGCGCCGCTGTTTCATTGGTGGAGTACTTGTTAGCCACACCGGATTTCAGATGAATGCACCCTATTTTTTCCTTCACGTTCCCCACTGGAACATAAGGCTTCAGGCTAGAGGCTTGAAGTTTCTGTAGCAGTGGTGACTATTTTTACATGATGGTGTTGCTAGCCTCATGCCCAGCCTTTCCTCTTTACCAGCATTATTTCTGGCTTAGCGAGGTAAAGGTGTGCGTCAGCCTTGGACCGAACCTCGGACCATGTGCATGGTCGGCGAGCGTCCTAACGGCTATGCCACGGACGCACGATGCACCCCATAAGCACTCTTAATTTACTAGCTGTGAGGTAAACCAGGAAGGTTGTTATTATTATTATTGTATCCTTTAGTTCCTAGAGGAACATAGGGCTTCAGCTGCGCACCTCCATTGACTTCGGTTTTCTGACAACTTTTTCACCCTGCTCCAGGTCTGTCCACATGCTTTCATCTCCTCCTCGCATGACCTCCTCCAAGTCACCCTTGGACGACCAACTCGCCGCCTCCCTTTCGGGTTCCACTCGAGGGCTTGTCTAGTGATGTCACTTGATGGTTTCCTCAGCGTATGGCCAATCCATCTCCATTTCTTTCTGCCTATTTGTTTCACAATCGGTTCCTGATTGGTTCGCTCCCAGAGATCCCTGTTGCTGATCTTTTCTGGCCATCTGATCTTGAGTATTGAGCGGAGACAGTTGTTAATGAAGGTTTGAAGTTTGTTTGAGATGCTCTTTATGACTCGCCAAGTCTCTGATCCGTATAGTAGCACTGACTTCACATTGGAGTTGAAAATCCGGATCTTATTTTTGATGCTGAGTGCTGTTGACCTCCACACAGATTTGAGAGTAATGAAAGCTTGTCTTGCTTTTCCGATTCTGGCTTTGATGTCCTCGTCAGTTCCGCCTGTAGTTGAGACGATGCTTCCCAGGTAGGTGAAGGAGGTTGTTTCTTTCAGGTTCTTCCCATTTATGCTTATTGTTGTCTGTTGTTGTTGTTGCTGTTGATGTTGGCTAGGAATCTTCATCATCTCTGTTTTATCTATGTTCACGTGAAGTCCTATCTTTGATGCTTCTTCTGCCAACTTGTTACTTTTCACTTGCATATCTTCCAGTTTATGGGAAATCAGACATATATCATCGGCGAAATCCAGATCCTCCAAGTCTTTTGTGTCAGTCCATTTTATGCCTGTTCCCTCGTTGGTTGCCGTTGTCTGTCGCATTATCCAATCAATTGCAATCAGGAAGATCATTGGTGATAGTAGACAGCCTTGCCTCACTCCCGTCCTCACTTCGAAGGCTTCCGTAAGTTTCCCGTTGTGGATTACTTGGCATGCAGCATTGTCGTATAACTGTTGGATGAGGTGTATAATTGTCGATGGGACCCCGTAGTAGCGAAGTAGTTTCCAAATGACCTCTCGATCGACGCTGTCGAAGGCCTTTTCAAAGTCGATGAAGTTGAGATAGAGAGGTGACTGCCATTCCAAGCTTTGTTCAATGATGATCCGTAGAGTGGCGATTTGATCAATACATGATTTGTTTCTCCTGAATCCAGCCTGTTCCGGACGAAGTTTTTCATCTAGGGCTTGTTTGATTCTCTCCAGGATGATGCGACTTAGTATCTTGCTTGGAATGGACAGAAGCATAATTCCACGCCAGTTTTTACATTGACTTAAGTCTCCTTTCTTTGGAAGTTTGAATAAGTAACTGTTCTTCCAATCCTCGGGTACTTTGCCCTCTTTCCACACCTTCTCCAGTAGTGGTGTCATCAAGTCCGCTGTTGTCTCTGGGTCTATTTTCAAAGCCTCTGCTGGGATTCCATCTGGTCCCGGTGTTTTCCCAGCTTTAAGCATCTTGATTGCATTCAGGACTTCTGATTTCGTCGGGGGGTCAGTGTTCACTGGTAGTTCTGCTTCCGTTGTTGGTATTGCTGGACGTGTTGTAGGTGGCGGACGATTTAGAAGTCTTTTGAAGTGTTCAACCCAGTGCTTTCTCTGTTCCACCTCTTTGGTGATTGACTTTCCATTGTCGTCCTTTATTGGCTTAATCTGTGTCGAACGTTTGCCCGAAAGGTTCCTAGTTGTTTGGTAGAGTGTGGCGAGGTCTCCTTTGCCTGCAGCTTGTTCTGCTTCGTTTGCCATGGTTTCATAATATTTTCTTTTGTCTTCCCTGGCACTTTTCTTCACTCTTTTGTTCAGTGTATTGTAGCTTGCATTCAGCTCCTGTTTTTGTTGCTCGTCAGTGCACTGGATAATCTTTTGCTTCACTGTCCTTCTCTCTTCTATTAGTTTCCAAGTGTCCGTAGTGAGCCACTGTTTGTCCTGTCTCTTTTTTCTGCCTAGAATTTCTATGCAGGTTTGGCTCCACACCGTTTTCAAGTTGTTCCAGTGCTTTTCAACGCCGACCTTTTCGCTAGTGTTGATTTGTGTCTCGGCTTTGTCCTTTATGCTTGCAATGAAGATGTCCTTTGTAGCCTGGTCCTTCAGCTTTTGAGTGTTGAACTTGGCTTGTGGTCTATCTGCAGCTCCTGATTCCCTGAAAGCTTTTAATTTGATTTGGATTGTCCCTTGTACGAGATAGTGGTCTGAGCCAACGTCTGCTCCTCTTCTTGCTTTTGTGTCCAGTAGGCTGCGCCTCCACTTCCTTGAGATTGAGATGAAGTCGATTTGGTTTTTGGTTTGCCCGTCTGGTGACACCCATGTAGCCTTGTGGATATCTTTGTGCTTGTATACACTGCCACCAATCACCAGTTCGTTGAAGGCGCAGAAGTCGGCGAAGAGTTCTCCGTTTTCATTCATTTCTCCTAGAGCTTCTCTACCCATGATGAGTTCCCTTCCCGTATTGTCTGGTCCCAGTTTGGCGTTCATGTCTCCCATTAGTATTTTCATGTCGCCAGCTGGAGTATTGTCCATTGTTGCCTGTAGTTGCCTGTAGAATTCTTCTTTCTTCTCGAGGTCTGCGTTGTTTGTGGGTGCATAACATTGTATGATTGACACTTTCCTTCCTTTGGAGTTGAACCTGGCGGTCATTATCCTGGACGAAATCGCCTCCCATTGTATCAGGGCTTTCGTTGCCGTTGGTGACATCATGATAGCCACGCCCTCGGTGTGCGTGTGGTTATCTTCTGGGTGACCGGAGTAGATCACTGACTCACCTGTTGACAATTTGGTGAGTCCACTCCCATTCCATCTGCTCTCACATATTCCCAGCACTTGTATTCCGTATCTTTTCATCTCGTTGGCGATCTGGGCAGCTTTCCAGTCTCGTACATAGTTCGGACGTTCCATGTTCCTACACAGACTTTTTCTTTTGGTGCAAGGAGGTTCATCATACTGAAGTTTCTTTAGCAATTTTTGTTTACAGGGTGGGGTTGCTAGCCTCACGCCTGAGAAAAGAATGATTACATTAAGTAAAAGTTTAGAGAGAAGCAACTTTTTGGGTTGCTCCCCTCAAAATCAGAAAATAACGGACAAACAATGAGAACAACATCAACAAAGGAAACAGTTCACAGAAAAAAGGGCAAAAAGCGACGACAACTATACAATAAGACAACATGCAATATAGTTCAGTACAGTTAACTAAAATGATATCTTAACCATAAACTCACTGACTTGGAGCAACTTGAACATATAAATCCAACAATATATACAATTATAGATGTGTTTATGTTTAAAAATTCCACAAATCCAAACAGTGAGTTATGTGTATTATCTGTCAATAAGATTGTATTTTTTGGATTCAGTGTTCGAAAGGTTAATAATTGTGATAATTTCCGCAAACTCTTTGCATAAAATTTTAGAGTAATAAGAGTTTTTATTAATGAGCAAAATGTAGCGTAATAGTCGAAAAAACAACAGTCATATATATATATATATATATATATATATATATATATACATGGAATATTCTAGATTAGTCAACATTAACAATATTGGTGTTTTAAATACTATCGATTTGTTAGGATCAGTGGAATAACAGACAGTTCAACAAAGACGCTTAAGGTATAATAATAAGCATAAAAAAGAAATAGCAAATAGAATATGAAATAAAATTAAGGAAATCTCTGTTACAACAATAAATTAAGGACCATTAAAACCCTGATGCATATCTACCAATCTGACTGCTTCTGTGGAGCCAGTTACACAGGCCTTACAATTAGTCGTGTTTATCGCTGGATTTCCGAACACCATCCTGCACAGAGATTAAGTAATTATAATTATTATTATTGTTCCCTTGGGTTCCTAGTGGAACATAGGGCTTCAAATGCACGTCTCCACTTGCTTCTGTCTTCTCCTGTACTTACTTTTCACCTGCATCCATGTTAGTCCATACTGTTTCAACTCCTCTTCATACGATCTCCTCCATCTCATACTTGCACTGACGTCTCAATCGCCGCTTCCCATTCTGTCGGGTTCCACTCGCGATGTCACCTAGTGGCGGCCTCCTCAGGGAGTGAGTGTCCAATCCATCTCAATCCACTTCCTCCTGAATATTTGCTGTTGTTTGGCGATTGCTTCTTGTTTTGTTTGTTTGTTCCCAAAGTTTCTTGTTGGTGATTCTATCCGGCCCCCTGGCCATCTGATCTTCAGTACAGAGCGAAGACAGTTGTTGATGAAGGTCTGCAGAGGTTAAGTAAGGAAGGAACAAACTCCATGCTTAGTTCTCTATTGTCTCATCTCGTCCATACAGAACACAAAATTGATGTAAACAAGTCGGCTTACTGAATAAGCCTAATTTTACCTGAAGAGCTCGTCTACCACCAGGTAGATGCATGACTGGAGTTGTTGGAATCTACATTGAAAAGCCTAACTTGATGTATCCAGAAGAAGAAGAAGAAGAAGCAGTTGGTTGGTTCAGAGACTTTTATAACCCCACTGGCCACATCCATCATTCAACCTTTTAATGGCCATTAATTTACTGTTGTCACAGAGATTCCCTTAATTTTATTTGATATGCTATTCACTATTACATTTCTACGCTTATTATTAGAATTTATGCATCTTTCTTGAACTGTAATTCCATTGTGATATGAACAAATTGATATTGTTAAAAAGACACCAATATTATTAATGACGACTAATCTAGAATATTCTATATATATATATATATATATATTTCATGTACATTATTATAGCTTATTCAGGCAGACAAACACAGCCTTCTGATCGGTTGTTTCTTGCTCAAGGTTATTCTGTACTGCTTGTGACTGGTTTCTCAGAAAGTTAAGCCATCTATCTGCGAATCATATTTGCCCACGTTAAGTCTGCTGTGATTGGCTGTTGAGTCAGCCTTGTTCATATTTTCTCACGGCCAATATTAGTGATCTATACATTGACGTAGATTAATGTCTACCAATTGGCTAGCAGCCTGCTCTCACAACAAATATACACCAGTGAGATGACCAAAAGTACATTCTTATCCTTAACATTTGACTGGATGAGCAGTCTGCTGGAGTAAAGTGGCTGCTTTAATTCTCTTCTTCAGACATTTAGAAATGCGGTTTATAAGAATTTTTCTGTTTTTCTATGTCACCTTTGAATTCCAGGTTCTTGGGAACTGTTGTGATTTTTTCCAGACGGAGGCTTTTCCTTCGTGGTTTTGTCGATAAATCTTGGTTTCACGTAACGAACTTAAATCCTTCTCTACTGTGTCTTCCGAAGAGATTTTTTGAATCCCTGAACATAATATATATATATGGAAAAGCTGAATTAAACAAAGTGGCAAAATGATTAGCACAACATTTGGTAAACCAATCAAATAAGGATTACCAAGATAGGTTAAGAGTAATAATAAACTGTTTCTGAATACACAGAGGGGGAAGCTTAAGTTTATGAATAGCTATAACCCCAGCGTATTTCAATAAGCCCCCTCGACCATTTTTATAGATAACCTTAAAGGCTGTGTTAACATCAATCCTATGGTTCATCTCGATTAGATGTTTGGTTATAGAAGAAGTTGGGAGTCTGCCATCTGCATCTATTGATTTATTTGCCTTTCTAACCATTTTGAGATATGCTTTTGCAACCTCCCTATGTATGTGTGACCACACACACACGAAAATCGGTAAATAGTGTGGGATGTGACATAATCAATTGTGCACTTTTGAGGTTTTGCAGTGGAGCATATTATTTGCCTTTTCGACACTTACAAGTTGGGTGGCATGACAAGTTCTACGGATGATGGAATTCAACCTTTGTCTCAAAATCCTACTGTTTATTTCCCCGTTATATGGTAGTTTGATTAAAACATTTTTCTTAGGGGCGGTATGGATTGTAGGTTTAGAGATGAACTGACTTCTACACCTGTCCAAAAATTTTAAAGGATATCCGTTTTCAACAAGAGTATCCATCAATAATTCGTTTTCTTTGTCTATAACATCAGCCGTACAAATACGTTGAATCCTCTTAAATAAACATTTTGCCAAGCCTCTCTTATACTGTAATGGACAGAGGCTGTGAAAATTAAGGTATTGTCCTGTCAAAGTGGGCTTTCTGTAAATTGATCGTCTTATTGAGCCATCATCTCTTCGACTCAGAAGTATGTCTAAAAATGCAAGCTGGTTGCGACTTTCTTCCTCGCATTTAAGACTAATATGATTCTGTAGAGAGTTAAGTCTATCTAATAGACAACTCACATCTTCATCATCATCACCTATCAAAATTATATCATCTACATATCTCCTATAGAAAAGCAATTTAGAAATCAAATCAAAGGACAAGTTCTTAACACAAGACATATAAACGTCCGCTTTACTTTGTTTAATCTAGCTTTTCCATATATATATATATATATATATATTTATATCGCCTGGACAAGTAAATGCGTGAGTGACCAGATTGTTCGAAATGTATAGCGCCAATACATCACATTGTTTTTCAGATAAACTCCGTCTTCTAATAACGCTATCCAAATGTATAAGACATTTGAAATAGTGTCTCCATAAATTACAAATGGGAGAAGATCAAAGAGCCATTTACCTTGTTAGTTACATAGGTAGGTTATAAGTCTCACACACAACACTTTCTCTATCACATAGAAGACGGGTAGGCCAAACAGAGTATCGCTCAGTTTGTTTGTGTACTTGGTTGTGCGAGCAAGCATATAATCCTTTTATAATGACTTTTAGTCCTATATGATAAAATGGAAGGCGAGTAGAGTTGTGAATAAAGAGGGCAATCAGAATTAGACAATATGGATTCACTTGACTTCATCCATGAGTTCAGATATTTGTCGGCTATGGTAGTAGCAAGCTGACTTAGTGGTGTCAAACCACATGCTCCACTGACAACCTCTATAATATCCTTCGCAATATGGAATCGTCATTTTGAGTAGCCCAAGAAAGACTAAAGGTGGAGAGCGATAAACAACAATGAGTAGGCTTCAAAAGTTAACAAATTGTAAAAGTAGCTTGAAAATCCCTATTGAGTCATATGAAAAGAGAAGACGTTCAGCAAAGAGACTCTTTTCGACGGCGAATTCATTCACATAGCTGTACAATCGCATTTACATATAATTATTTGTGGGTGTGTGTATACATTAGGTTTGTCAAGTTTAGATAATTGATCAGGTAATACAAGAATGACCTAATATAGAAACAAAGTTAATCAAACATCAACTAAAGTAAGATTGAGTTAGTTAGTAAGTTAGATGATGTAATACAAATGACTAAAATGTTTCAACTTAGGTCACTTGCTAAGTCCTGAACTCTGCATACAGAATTTCGTTTAATCACTACACTTGCAATGGACGTGATCTATCTTACTACCCGACAAGTAAATTCTACCTAATCTTATTTTGTCTGAGTCAACTCAATTATAATATTTTACATTTTCAACCTTCTTGTTCTCTAACCCTACCTGATTTAATTCCTACACCTCACTACCACTGTTACCGACTTGATCAACGCTCAATTTCTAATCATTTATGATACATTATCCAACTTATTTGCTCAATTTTAGTTCTAATTTAAGTGGCATTATTCTCTACCCCGCTTCTACTTAGTCTCTCTCTACCTGTAATTACCTCTGTTGCTACCCTGACCTAAGTTGAACCATTTTAGTCAATTATATAATGCGTCATCTAACTTACTAACTCAATCTTACTTCAGTTGCTGTCTAATTAACCTTGTTTCTATGTTAGATCATTCTTTTAGTACCTGATCACTTATCTAAACTTGACAAACCTCATGTACACACACGCATACCAATAATTATATATAAATGCGATTGTGCAGCTATGTGAATGAATTTGCCGTCGAAAAGAGTCTCTTTGCTGAACGTCTTCTCTTTTCATATGACCCACCTGATTGTCTAAACTTCTTAATGTAGAAGACTAGTCACAACATTTTCTCAGAAATCAACAACAAGATATGGGATGACTGACGAAGATGACAGAACCACATTAGATAGTTGGAGGCAATCGGCCAGAGGCAGCCTTGGACCTAAGTTTCGTGCTAATTGGCACTCGTCAGCAAGGTTTATCTGCAGCCTGACGGATAGAATTCAGGCTGCACCAAAGAGCTATTTCAAGGTATTTAATACTTGACTTAGTCTCCACTTTACTGCCCTATATACTACTTAAATCATGTGAACGGGCCAGTTCGTGTAGATCACGTTTACGCCTTAAAGGTAAAGTTAAAACTGTCTAACATTTAGACAAATTAAAAGTAAGACTCTTTCACTTCAACCACTAGCTAGCTGATGTCCGACAAAAGGCCATTAACTAGAGAATAGTTAAATCGGATGTAACTGGTAGCACTATGGTCACATAATCATAGTATTTAACAAGACTGATTACTACTCTTTTTTTCTTATCTTTTCTAGAACTCCCTGCTCCACCGTCAAGTTTAGATGCTCGACCAATCGGTGGGACATACGCAGTACTCAGATGGCCACCGAGTATCTCCACCGGTGTTGATTCGTATACAATCAGTTTACAAGTGAATGATGGTGATTTAGGTGAACTTGGCCGACGTCAAATCACCAACATTGATCCATCTGAAATGAAATCAGAAATCTCACCTAGTTTATTAGACATGACTTATTCTAAAGAAAGTCCAATGATTACTTACAATCTAACTGAATTAAGCCCATATACACTGTACACAGCACAAGTGCATGCAGTCAGTAGAGTGGCTGGTTTATCTTTGCCTAGTGATTCAGTGAAATTTAGAACTGCTGAATTAGGTGAGTTCAACGCCTTTAATTATCATTGAAATTTTAATTGTGAAATGCCAGTTTTAGTCAGTTTGTAATATCTGTAGACTGAATTTCATCGCCTTAGATGAATTTAATGCATATACAGTTGAATGACAGAATGACTGACTGACTGGTTTCAACGTAGAACTACCTTGCACAGTTGTGCAGCAGTTCAACTTGCCACACCCTCTCCATGTACAACACAAACCAACAGACAACAGTAAACAGAGGTTCAAAACACACACACACACACAGAGAGATAATAAAACACAATATTCAGCGAAGAGACACATTTCAACGAATTTATTATCATTATAATAAAGGCTTTTGTATTTCTCAATGAATGAAAAACAAATCGATATTGTTGCTCTTACTGACGTTTCGCTATTTAATGCTGCTGCTAATAGCTTTATCAAAGCAGTATTATTAAACCGGAATTTACAAAAATCCACTCAGTATATATACATATATACAACAAAGAGTTAAGAGGTGAGAAAATAGACTACTCAGGTCAAGTTAAAAGGAGGACATATTCAAAGTCAAAATAACAATGAAGATCACTAAACCAAATATCAAAGGTAATAATACATCTGTTATGATATCAAAACAAAGTTTACCAACTTGATTATCGTTCGTCTGTCTGGGCTGATTTTTCGTTGACAAGTTCGTCAATTGGTAAAGATAACAAAACCAGGTGTAGATTGTTGGATTTGATCAGTGTGTAGAATTATAAAAGCAGTGTGCGTGTGTGTGTTTACATAGTGAACCTGCTTATCATATTCGTGTTGATTTTGTCACTTCATGAGGGAGGGGAGGCAGGTGTTGTAACCAGGTCAAATTCTGTTTTAGTCCATCATTCCTATTCAGCTCAGACAATTTGGATTCCACTTGATGCTATGAAGTGCTTCTGACGATGTGAGACGTTCTTTGTGATTTCTGAAATGCTTTTTCTGGATGATGATTTCAATGTTGTCAAAATGAATTTTGTGGCGTGATTCTGTGTCATAGCGTGTAGACGACCTATGGTGGGCTGATGATTTTCAAGTTTTTCTACTTCTACTGGATTTCTCGGTGAGATTCTGTAAATTCCGGTTTAATAATACTGCTTTGATAAAGCTATTAGCAGCAGAATTAAATAGTGAGACGTCAGTAAGAGCAATAATATCGTTTGTTTTTCATTCATTGGGAAATAAATACAAAATAAAACCCTCTTTATTATAATGAATATCATATACCACCCAATGGCCAAATTTTTTCAAACTGTTAAAGATGAACTTGGTTTGGACATGTAGAATTTATTTTCAAGCTGTACAATTGTATATATATGTGGTTTTTTATATCTGGTGAGGGAATTAGGTCAGAGGTGTGAATACATGAAATCATAGTAGTAGTAGTAGTAGTAGTATGAAATGCAATTCAAATATTTGTGATTATAATCATGGTTTAATGTCAAGTGGCAAAATAATTAATGTCATATATAGAATAATACATAAGGTGTATAGATTTTGGAAAGGTATACATAATTATAAGATTAGTAGACAAATATAAAATGTTACATAACATGGTGTTAAATTTCATAAGATAGAATTCAATGTTGTAAAAATAAAAAATATAAAAATTAATAATTTTGGGTTTAAAATGACAAGTGGGTCTAGTGGAAACAATTCAGAGTGAGAATAGTAATAATAATAATAATACTAAACTTAGTAATAAGGGAAAAGTACATAGAATAACTAAATAAACAAATTAAATAAATGTCTATCCCTCTATGACCAAGGTAGAAGTAGAGATTGTACGTACTTCTTTTGTACACAAAGACCTGTCTGACTTAAAGTCATGAATTGCCAAGGCCTCAGCTGTCTTTAGAAGTCTGTAACGAAGAAATCTTGGTCAGGGTTGACCGAGTGACAGAAGCCGATCAGGTGTTCCAGAATACAGCTTCGCACACACTTCCTTTCTCCCTTGTAAAACCAAGCTGGAATATGTTATCATATCCCTGCGGTAGAAAGCGTCCTCTGACTACGGCCAATGTACCTTGCTCCACAAGAGCAGGTGAACTGATAGATGCACATGGAAGCGGCCAGGCGGGGGGGAGGGTAGAGAACAATTTGCGGCTCGTGAACGTCATTTGTAATTTAGCTGCAGGGAACGTCTTACTGACTGATTTAGAGACGATTTTTGAGTATATCTAAAGCTTGATCACCTTTGAATTCCATCCTCATGAATAAGGCTTTTTATTTGGAACTGAGTCGGTGATCAGTTTAGACTGCTTATCTTTCATGTTGCTGTCAATAAATCGGTTAGGGTAACCGTTGTCTGCGAGTGTGGCTTTTAAGAAGTCAAGTTCTGAGCCAACGCAATCAGAACTACAAATTTTCCTCATCCAAAAGCACAGTGAATGAATTAAATTCCTTTTCCTGGAAATAGGCACCCAACTGTAAAAATTAGTTAGTTGTCCGTTCTATGTACCTTTCCGGTAGCAAACAGTTTCCATGAGAGGAACATTGGTAAATACCGACGTCACAGGACAGGACTTTGTCTGAGATATTAAAATCTTTAATGCTATCAACAAATTTAAACGTATCATCAATGGAAAACTTAGATAATAAACAGAAGTGTGAGTGAGGCGAAAAGAATAGTAATATGGAAGAACAATAGTAGAGTTTTATTGGATAAGATAAATCACAAAGAGTTAATGTCACTACTGGCGCAACAGTCGCCGAAAACGATTTTCAGCCAAATCACCGATTGTCCCTGGCCTTCAATGGTTACTACCAACTTGAGGACCCTAACCAGGCAGTCAGTCTGCATCTCTCTGCGTAAGTGGCTAACTTAAATTAACTGTTGTTGATATCATACAATGATTTCCTTTTATAAATTTGAACAAAGAAAGAAGAAACATTGGAGCGCAGAATAATCTGGATCCGTTTTATTTCGTTGGTTCTCATCAGCAGCTGCGTACAACCTGAATTTTTTAATAAAATAAAAATAAAAAAGTGTACAATTTTAACAAACTTTTATCCATTAGCAAGCATATTGTCACAGCGTCATAGTGAAATAAGGCGTTGCGATTTTTAAGGTGTCTAAAGTGTTACGATATATATATATATATCTTGTTAGAGAGAAGTTCCCTGAAAAAATCAATTAACAGTTGTGTTGTTGAGGTGGTAACATAAGAAAATTAGTAATAGTTATGTAATTAGAAAAGAGAAGATCAAAATTTTGGTGCATAGGAGGTCAGATGAGAAGTTGATGATGTAACACAGTGAGCAGAACTCAGAAGATCAAGAAAAATTATCTCTTAAGAGAGTCAAACGAAAAAAATAAAGGCAGGGAATGGAGTAAAAAGATAAGTTAACAAAGAGTTACTAAGAAGTGAGTGATCAGGGTTGGACTTCAGTAACCCTCCCCCCGTGTGAAGAATAGGTCAACTATGCCACTCACTAGATGCAATCAAACACAGTGATACAATAGGATGGTGGGATAAAATGACAGTTTTAAATTCCAATGTAACATGGTGGTGGGAGGGAGAGATTGATAACTGACTGAGGCTTTATTTATCGAATCAACTGAGAGAGGGGATATGTGTAATAGGAATGGTTGAACATTTTTGCACTCAGATATCTGGAAAATTCCACTACTGCCCCAACTCCATGATGATGAATAGGAAAGAATAAAGTAGATTATAAAATGAATGTTTCGAAGTTGTGTGGTTAAAATTTATGATATAATTATGAACAATAAATTGAGTTGGAAACTTCGTCATCCAGTAATTAGCAATACTGTTTCACTCTGTGTGTATGTGTGATATAGCTAATAAACAAATAAATGTGGAACTGCATATCGCCACAATGCCTAACTTTTTTACACATACACTAACATCAAATCCTTTCTGAAGTTTGAATCCGTGTCATCCAGTACTGAGCTATATGCGCTGGACTGTAATGGATACTTCGACTGGACAGTAATACTAGTGTCATATATTATTTACTTTTATTTTGATGCAGACTGAATTATAAAGGATGTGAATATTGTTCCCCTCATTGTCTCTAAGCCTTCTTTACCTGACAAATCTTGTTTTCCACTCCAAATGGAGGTGCCACTGACACTCTGTCTCTCTCTGTGTTAAGTTGTTCACTTTTAAACAACTTATCTGGTTAGAAATCTTACAATGAATAAATTTTAATTTCTCTCATCCACTATTAATCCTCAGTGAATCTAACTGTTAAAAGAAAACAAAAAAAAATTATTTTTTGTTAACACAGTAACAAAGGCATTCCTTAATGTGCACTGATGAATAGAAAGGACAATAAATTCATAATATTATACGAATTATTCAAATAGGAGGAAAATCAATAACTAGCTAATTAGGTAACGATTTAAAAAATAACAATCAGTGCCTATGTTTGTATTTAGGTAGATAGGCAGGTAGGCTGTATTTACTTACTGTCAGTAATTGAATTTATTAATCAATACTATTATTGATGCGATTATTATTATTACTGTTATTATCTGTAATGGCTATTATTTATATATCCTATATCCCTATTCTTTATTTTTTCTTCTTGCTTCAATTGCTTAATTATTTAATAACTTATCGCTATCATTATTAGTTCAGTCATTTTATCAGTAATTCGTCAATCCGATATGACAGTTCACTTTTATACCTTCTGGATTATTTGTCCCCTCTCTCTCCCTGTTAACTTATCATGAGCATATATATATATATACATATATATATATATATATATGTTTGTATGGATGCACACTCGAGTAGGTAAACACAGAAGTTGAGTAGGATTGAGGCGAAGAAAATCGACATTACAATTTTTTTGGCCTCACATGATTTAGTGATAAAATGTTGGACATTATGAATGAAATGTCACGTACACTCGAAAAAATAAACGCTTGTCTCTCTTATTGAGTAATAGGGGAGGGGGCGACATAATTGATATAAATAACTCAGAAGTGTCTTTAAAAGTTGTAAA